TTCAAAGTCACCCCACGCAATTTTTCATCGAAATTAGTTGCTGCTCTGTACACCAAAAATTGTCTTTTACACAACCTTCTTAATAGCAACAACAAACAGAAAATAGAAAAACATCCGTGATAAAGATTCTAGAGCAAAGCAACAACATTGACAATCGGGATCAACTGTCAACCCTTAAAGAGCAGTATCCTCTTACGTTGTTTATTAGTATAACTCTGCCTTCTCAGTATCCTAAGAGTTCTATCTCAACATGAAACGCTAACAAGATAACCATTATTTAGAATGTTTATTTATGCATAAATATTTATTTTCAATGTGCGCATATATATACTCATGATGCTAGTATAAACTAGGTAAACAGACATGTTAAATTGTTAATTAGTTGGTACACGAGTTAATTCAATGTAGTGCACATACATTGAGCAACTCGACACTTCTATAAGTAATAAGACTAATAGAACTCATCATCTCTCTTTGACAGAACATGAAGATTTCAAAAAATTGGAAAACTTAGGGAAGGAAATGGTGAAAGCATGTGGGGGTCTTCCATTGGCTGTTATAGTACTCAGCGGAACTCTTGCCACCAAGAAGGACCTGAATGAGTGGGCGACTGTCAATAGAAACATTAAAGCTCATCTTGGAAGAGGAAACAACTTGATCAAAGAAGAAGGAAATCTGCACAAGATATTAGCTTTAAGCTACAATGACTTGCCCTACAAATTGAAGCCTTGCTTCCTTTACCTGAGTAGATATGAAGAAGACTCTGACATAGGCACAGAGAAATTGTACCAGTTATGGATTGCAGAGGGTATAATATCAACAAAAGATCAGATTGGTGAAGAATCAATGATGGATGTAGCAGAAAGATACCTGGGAGAATTAGTAACTCGGTGCATGGTTCAAGGTAAAGCCCCTGATGATGATGATGTGATGCTGTCCTCCGTTGGAAGATCATTTGCATCGTGTCGCCTTCATGACTTAATGAGAGACCTAAGTTTGCTCAAGGCTAAAGAAGAGAATTTCTTGTTATCCATAAGCCATTATCATGATGGAATTCTCGATGAGCATGGCAATAATGATCACTCACAAGTTTACCGTCTAGCCGTCCATTTTTCTAAGGAGGATGTAAGGAAATATGTCCCTCCAGCTGAGAAGAGAAATACTAGGCACCTGAGGTCACTGGCGTTGTTGCTCTTAGGTAATGAATTCTATGAGGGGCGTCTTCCTAAGAAAATGAAGTCTCAATTCAATCGGTTCAAAATGCTCAGAGTGTTGACCATTGAAGGGATCCGTCCTGCTTTCTCGGAAGATCACATACTTAAAACTGTATTTCTCCTAGTAGCAGATCACTTGAGGCTCCCAAAAGCTGTTGGGGAGCTGATCCACCTGCGATACTTGAGTTTGAGGAATTCAGTTTTCGTCTGTTTGCCATCATCCTTGGGCAACTTACAAAACTTGCAGACACTTGATTTACGAGCCGGAGTGTGTAGAATACCTAATGTGCTTTGGAAGATGAGACAGCTTAGGCACTTGTATCTTCCGGCTAATTACGCTGACCGTATGGTGGGCAAGTTTAGCTTAAATTTGTGCTGCAAGAATTTGCGACTCAAGGGATTGGACAAGCTAGAGATCCTGGAAAACTTCTGTCCTCCGACTTGTTCATCTCAAGATATATCCACATTGAAGAACCTTCGAGTACTATCCGCCGTGGTATTCATGGGGAACTTTGATGACGAGTACTTCCCTGTAGAAATCCATAGATTAATGGCAAACTCAGACCACGTGCGTTGCACATCCCTACGTATTTATTCAGCAGCCAGTGCCGCCTCAAACAAGGAGAAATTGTCGGATGCTGTTGGTCAATGTTTCTCTAGTCGCAATCTTCAAGTCTTGGAGGTATATGGTCCACTGGCCAATTTCCCCAAGCACGAAGCCCAGTACATGTATGCAAGCCTTCTTAAATTGAAACTAACCACAATGGAGATAGAGGAATATTCCATGGAAACTCTGGAAAGGCTCCCTAATCTCCGGTCGCTTCACTTGCAAGATCTATATATTCTCGGGAAAGAGATGAGGTGCAAGGCAACAGGTTTTGGCCAACTTAGATTTCTTCGTTTTGAATTTCTACGGAACTTGGAGAAGTGGAATGTTGACGAAGGAGCCATGCCCAACCTTTCGGTCTTGACAATTGTATATTGCACGAAGCTGGAGATGGTTCCCAATGGATTGAGATACGTTAAAACGCTGAAAGAGTTGAACATTGCATCGATGCCAAAGGAATTCACAGATAGAATCCAAGCAGTAAATGGTGAAGATAAGGGACAGGATTTTGACAAAGTCTCCCATATACCCACCATTAGCGTGCGTGATATTTTATCCTGACTCAGCAGATGAGGTACCTCTGATTAATTTCTTTTTGTTTAGCATCTCAATTTTCGGAACATACATCCATTTGATTCGTCAAGCCTTGTGTGGTACTTAAAACTGATCCTAATTGATTTTAACTTGTGCTGTTAGGATCAATTTGACGGGCATGATTAATTCACTGCTGGAATATGATGCTCTCAAACCTTTTCCATTTCCGTATTAATTATGTGTCTCGTGTCTATGATTTTCACTCAGCTTATACTCTGCATATTTCTTGATGTAATTTGTCTAATTAGAGTTTGTGCTGTAATTTAATGCAGATTATATTTTTAATTAATGAATTTTTTTTTTATAATACCTTTTTGTTTAAACAACAATGGCTTCGCAACTGATATCGTGGGAAGGAAAAAGAAAACTTAAGGCTTTGTTTGTTTCAGGGGGGAAACCGTGTAAGAAAGTATGCCGTGGGAAGAAATGAAGTGCAGCCATGTAATGGAAGGAAACTAATTTTCCCACATGTGTTTGGTTAACAAGAAAATGATGCAAGAAAATACAAATTCTTGCATTTGTTTAACCGGAAAGTCACAAAAAAAAATTGGGTAATGTATTCGTTAATAGAAAATATTCAATATTAAACTTCTTTTTGGTATTTAATACATGTAAAAATATGTAATAAACATAACATTTTGCATAATGGAAGAGTTGTTGTTACCTCAAAATCAATCACATTCTTTAACCACAAGTTAATATATAGACATAAAAGAGGGAGCATAAAATGCAAAACAAAAAAAAGTACTAATGTCATAAAAAGTCAACAAATTACTAATTCATTAGTTGTTAAAATAAGAATAAAATGTCTAATTACAAGCCAATTTTTTGAATTGTAAATTCTAAGATATTCTAATTTAGAAAGAAAGGAGTTGTAAAAGATAATTAGTTGAAACTTTTCCCTGAGTCACTTCCATATAAATTTCAGCAAGGAAAATTTTAAGGAAAATGAGTGGAATGTAATGGGTCCCATAAATTTCCTAAGAAACAAATATTCAAAACTGGCGTGAAAGTCATTTTCGTTCCCTTTTCTTGGCAAACAAACACTGGATATCAAAGACCAATTTTCTTATGCATCCCAACTTGGCAACAACACAATAATAGGTTATCTCACTGGTGGTTTGCTTTTCCATTTTAGTCCATTATCATTGTTTAATGTTTTAGGTACAGATTTTTTTTTATATTTTTGAATTTTGCTGACTAGCTTATGCCATTATGTTCAAGTTGTCCATAGTCTCCAGGAACTAAAATAAAAAAAAAAAAAAAAAAGAGTACGAATAAGTTCATTTGGGCGAAGATTGGATTTAGAGGCTAAAAAGCCCCCAAAGGTACATCCCCAAAAAGTTTAAAAGTTCAATGCATGAGGTCTTCTAGGTTTTGGTCATTGAATGTTTAATTTTCTATGTGGTAAATTGTTGGGTTGGATGTAAAAGTGGGCATTCTCTCTCTCTCTCTCTCTAAAACGGATTTCTAGAGGTTGTCAAAATAACTTAAAAATTATGTTCATTTTTTGCAAGATGATTTGCACTTAGAAATCAAGAAAGTCTTGATCTAATAGTTAAAAGTTGAGACGTTGCGATTCAAAGGTATCTCCTCTTCATCCTCTCCATTTTTTAAACTCCAACTTTCCCCTGTTAAAATTAAAAAAAAAAAAAAAAAAAAAAAGAAGTTCTGCACTTAGAAAGCAAGAAAAAGCGTGGAAAATTAAATGCTATTAGATCAGAGGCCCTGAAATGAAACGTAATTAACCATGGGGGGACTTGCAATCAACTCCTTTCGTCAAGAATAGTACAGTTGACAAGAAATATCCTCTACTTGTGCTAGTTTTGTTTTGTTGCCACTAACTTTTTCGCGTAGTTCATGCATGGAGTAAGACAACTATTAGGACAGGGATTAAGGGATAGAAGGCACGCAGAAGTGGTATGTAAAGATCGGCAGACGAATTTTGAAATAAAATCCATTGCAGAATTTATACTCTTGCTACGCAGCAAAAAATGCAATTTGATTGGCTTTCATTGAGAATATGTCTGTGGAACTATACGTGCATACATAGAGTTATAACAATCGCATTAGCCACATGGCTATAGATCGCAATCCTCACTAGTAAAGAAATGTTTCAACCAAAGTATTCAATAGAGAAGAGGGTCTTCTTGCCTTCTTTAGATAGCTGGATGAGGTATGGAACATCTGGTCAATATGAAATAGAGACATGGATATAGGCATAAGGAATTTAATTTGATACTATTTATACTTTCCTTCGTTATCGTACTTGGTATCAGAAAAATCCGCTATTAATTTCTTTCAAAAGGATCTGAGATGCATTTCTTTTCTTTGATAAATCACAGTATCTATATGGAAGAGGATGCTTTTCTTCTGTGGGGAAAAAGCTTATTGCATCCCGAATCAGGGACAACTTATTGGGCTGTCTAAGAAACTTGTAAGCAATGTATTACCTAATTAATACTCTTTCCCTCCCTCCAATCCTTCTAGTTTATGTAGTTTAAGAAGATGAATATAAGTAGGAGGTGTCATCGCTTCCTCAAATGTACTACCCTTAAACCTACCTACACGCTTCCTTGAAAAAAAAAAAAAAAGAATTCATCTTTTTGTCTAGCAAAAATGGCTGAGGCCGTTGTCAGTTTTGCTGCGGAAACAATTGGCAACCTGTTGATTGAAGAAACGAAGTTCTTACAAGGGGTGAGGGACCAAGTGGAGCAACTTCAACTAGAGCTAAAGCGGATACAATCGTTCTTAAAAGATGCAGATGCAAGGCAGCATGAGGAGGAAAGGATCAAGGTGTGGATTTCACAAGCTAGAGATCTAGCTTATGAGGCCGATGACTTGATTGAAAGATATGCTTTCAAAGTCGCGTCCCGAAGGAGGAAAGGCGTTAGAGGCACCACAAAGAGATGTGTTGGTATCCTGAATGAGTGCTTTCCTAGGCACACCACAGGAACGGGTATTCAGACTCTGAAAACGAAAATCTCTGATCTCACCAAAAGTTTCCAGGAATATGGGATCGCAGCTGTGATGGAAAGACAGGATGGCGCAAGTTCATCGCATCAACAATTGAGGCGGACATATTCCCATGTTGTCGAGGATGACTTTGTTGGATTGGAGGATGATGTTGAGATGCTGGTAAAGCATCTGTTGAGGGGAAGCGATCATGATCATGAGATCGATCAACACTTTAGAGTTGTCTCCATCTGTGGGATGGGTGGCTTGGGAAAGACAACTCTTGCCAGAAAGGTATACAATCACCCTGAACTGAGGCGCTGCTTTGATGGTCTTGCTTGGGTATGTGTCTCGCAAAAGTGGCAAAAGGAAGACATTTTGCAAAGGATCTTGCTAAGCCTGATCCCAGAAAAGAGAGAAGAGATACTGGAGTGGAGGGATGAGGAGCTCGTCAGGCAACTTTTTCAAATCCTGCAAAACAAGAAATGTCTTGTGGTTCTTGATGACATTTGGGCCACAGAACCATGGGAATGTATAAAGCAAGCATTTCCAATTAGAAACGACGGAAGCAAGATCTTAGTTACATCTCGCAATAAAGACGTGGCTTTGCATATTGATCCCAGTGGTTTTCACCACGAACCGCGCTTTTTAAGTGAGGACGAAAGTTGGCAGCTGCTACAGAGGAAAGCTTTACGGGGCAGGTTTCATGGAGGTACATGACTTCTTAAAACACTTTTTATTTTTTATTTTTATTATTTTGCTAAATTGGGCCTTTTTTACTTGATCAAGGGATGATAAACTGTAGATCTTGAGGGTTTGTTTGTTGTGGCTATCCTTATTACTTATTAGTACACGGTAATCAAAGAAAAGAAACTAGTAAACAGTCCCTTGAATGGTTAGCGGCCACTAAAACTTAAAGATATTTGTGGAATGGGAGGTGGTTTAGTTCTCCCAATTTGATCTGCCCCCCCTTTACTATAGTGTAGGTGTATGTATATATTGTTGACCTTTAATAAAAAAAAAATAATGAAAAGAAACTACTAGAGGAATTACAATGCCATGCAATTTTAATTTTACTGCCTCTAAAAGCCAAAGGCAAGAGAAGGCAAGACGAATATTGATATGAGTCAAACAAGAAATATTAGAGCATAGAGTAAAGTTTTTTTTTTTTTTTTGGGTTTCTTATGAACAGCGGTGTATAATAAAACGCAACTTGAGTAAATCTGACAGGCAAATCCTTTTTTTCACCCGAAATGTGAGTGGTTGATGAGCAGTTCATAATTAATTGGACTATAAAGAGTGGTTAAGTATTTTCCCCTCTTTTGGGGCTATACTCTTTTTTTCTTTTTGCCCCCTTTTTGTTAAGCTCACAACTTTTATTGATTTAACGACACAATGCACACGAAGAGACAAATTCCCGAAACACAGGCAAATCCTCTGTTTCACCCGAAAGTATAAACATCCCTTTACATGTCTTCTGCTCCAAATTTTATTGACTAAACAAAAACAACAACAGATGATCTTTCCTCAATGGAATTGGCTCAATTTTTCTCAAAGTTTCTTATTTTTTGTTTCTCAATGGAGAAGTTTCAATTTTTCTCAGAGTTTCTTATATATACACACACATATATTCATGATGCTAAACAGAAATGTTAAATTGTTAATTCAATGTACTGCACATACATTGAGCAACTCGACACTTCTGTCTATTAAGTAATAAGACTAACAGAACTACTCATCATCTCTCTTTGACAGAACATGAAGATTTAAAAAAATTGAAAAACTTAGGGAAGGAAATGGTGAAAGCATGTGGGGGTCTTCCATTGGCTGTGATAGTACTCAGCGGAACTCTTGCCACCAAGAAGGACCTGAATGAGTGGGCGACTGTCAATAGAAACATTAAAGCTCATCTTGGAAGAGGAAACAACTTGATCAAAGAAGAAGGAAATCTGCACAAGATACTAGCTTTAAGCTACAATGACTTGCCCTACAAGTTGAAGCCTTGCTTCCTTTACTTGAGTAGATATGAAGAAGACTCTGACATAGACACAGAGGCATTGTACCAGTTATGGATTGCAGAAGGTATAATATCAACAAAAGATCAGATTGGTGAAGAATCAATGATGGATGTAGCAGAAAGATACCTGGGAGAATTAGTAACACGGTGCATGGTTCAAGGTAAAGCCCCTGATGATGATGATGTGATGCTGTCCTCCGTTGGAAGATCATTCGCATCGTGTCGCCTTCATGACTTAATGAGAGACCTAAGTTTGCTCAAGGCCAAAGAAGAGAATTTCTTGTTATCCATAAGCTATTATCATGATGGAATTCTCAATGAGCATGGCAATAATGATCACTCACAAGTTTACCGTCTAGCTGTCCATTTTTCTAAGGAGGGTGCAAGGAAATATTTCCCTCCAGCTGAGAAGAGAAATACTAGGCACCTGAGGTCACTTGCCTTGTTGGTCTCAGGTAATGAAGGTTATGAAGGGCGTCTTACTAAGAAAATGAAGTCTCAATTCAATCGGTTCAAAATGCTCAGAGTGTTGGCCATTGAAGGGCTCTGTCCTGCGTTGTCTGGAGATCAAATACTGAAAAGTGTACTTATCTTAGTAGCAGATCACTCGAGGCTCCCAACAGCTATTGGGGAGCTGATCCACCTGCGATACTTGAGTTTGAGAAGTTCAGTTTTCCACTGTTTGCCATCATCCTTGGGCAACTTACAGAACTTGCAACACTTGATTTACGGCATGCCAGAGTGCTTAGAATACCCAATGTGCTGTGGAAGATGAGACAGCTTAGGCACTTGTATCTTCCGGAAAACTACAGGCAAGATATGGAATTTCTGGGCAAGTTTAAGTTGAACTTGTTCTGCAGGAAATTGCGAGTCAAGGGATTGGACAAGCTTGAGATCCTAGGAAACTTCTGTCCTCCGACTTGCTCATCTCAAGACATATCCACGTTGAGGAACCTTCGAGTACTATCGGCCGTGGTGTGGTTAGATGACCTTGATGAGGACTTTCCCACAGAAATCCATAGATTAATGTCAAACTCAGACCACGTGGGTTGCACATCTCTACGTATTTACTCTGACAAAGATTCAGCAGCCACTGCCGCCTCAATCAAGAAGAAAGTGTCGGATGTTGTTGGTCAGTGTTTCTCTCGTCGCAATCTTCAAGGCTTAGAGGTAAGTTGTCCCATGGACAATTTTCCACGGTACGAAGCCCAGTACATGTATGCAAGCCTTCTTAAATTGAAGCTATCCAGTCTCGAGATAGAGGATGATCCCATGGAGACACTGGAAAGGCTTCCTAATCTGCGGTCACTTCACTTGCAATATAGATCTTTTCTCGGCAAAGAAATGAGGTGCAAGGCAACGGGTTTTGGCCAACTTAGATATCTTCGTTTTGAAGGTCTACATAACTTAGAGAAGTGGAATGTTGATGAAGGAGCCATGCCCAACCTTTCGGCCTTGACGATTGTATATTGCCCAAAGCTGGAGATGGTTCCGAATGGATTGAAAGTCGTTAAAACTCTGAAAGAGTTGAACATTGTGCGGATGCCAAAGAAATTCACAGATAGGATCCAAGCAGCAAATGGTCATGAAGATCAGGGACAGGATTTTGACAAAGTCTCCCACATACCCACCATTAGTGTCCGTAATGTTTCATTGTAACTGAGCATTGTTGATCAGGTATCTGGCTCTTGTCAACATTTCTAGTTTCATTCTGGAATTTTACTTTAATTTATCCTTAATCAATTATAGTTTCTCTCTGGAATTTTATTTCAATTTATCATTCAACCAATGATGAATGACCTTATATTCAACCACACCATGCTTACAAAGTCACAAGTTGCATATCTCTGATTTTAGGAACATTTATTTGACTCAGTAAGCCCTATATAGTACTTAAAACTGATCCTAATTGATTTCACTTGTGCAGTTAGGATCAATTTGACGGGCAAGATTTATTCACTGCGGGAATGTGATACTACCAAACATTTGCCATTAATTATGTGTCTTGGTGTACGATCAATTTTTTTTTTTTTTCCGTCAAAAGTCGAGTCTCCAGTTACTATACTTGGACTTGTATTAATTATGTGTATCATAACCATCATTTTCACTCAGCTTATAGTTTGCAGGTTTCTTGGTGTAATTTGTCTAATAAGAGTTGTACTGTAATTCAATACATATTGTATTTTTAATTAAAGAATTTTTTTCACACTTTTTTTCTACAACAACAGCTTTAAACCCATCACGTGGATGCCCTAGATAGCTCAGTTAGTAACAAATTTGTATTACGCACGTATAATACAAGTTCCTATGCATAATTAAATTTTTTTTTTTTTTGTATTTCATATAAAACACTCTGAAATACATTTGTCATATAACAAGAATTCAAATTTGGAATCCAAATCATGTTAGTATAAAAAAATCACTACATTTTCAGTGGATAAAACGTTAATCCTTGAAAGATATTCATACTTTTTCGTTAATCATACAAAACACGTAATAATCTTTTTGCTATTGTACTTCACGAATAATACTTTAATTATTGGTAAAACTTAAAATTTGAGTAAGCATGATGTTATTATATATACAAAACAACCATGATATATAGCATAATTTTTTTTTTCAAATTTGTATATATAAAACTAATGAGACTTTAAATTTTTGGTCAATCTAATATCGCATGTATAAGGAGAGAGCTCTTAGACTTTTCGTCGCGGTCGGATTCAGGATTCAAATCTTGCTTCTAGCTTTTGGGAGGAAGGGTGTGGAGAGGAGTGTGAGAGAAAAAAATTTAAAAAAAAGTCTTTTTTTGGAAACATTTTTTCTTTTTTCCAAATTCAATAAAAGCTATTTCATATTCAGAAACACCACCTCCAATTCCGAAGAAAGCAAATAGTAACAACGGAACGGAAGGAACAACAATTACCACACTGGCGTCGGTAAATGTTAACCCCCTCACCAAAGTCTAGGTTGCAACGCGGTGAATAATTGAATTCCGTGCATAAAACCGCGTGCGTTTTTTCTTTTTCTTTTTGATTTTGTGATTCCTTGTTTGGTCAATTTTTCAGCACCTTTTTGTGGACTCTAAATGATTTGGGTAAACTAATCACAAATTTTTTTTTTAACTCATAAATTGTGTAAAAAGAGCTTAAATTTCAAAACCAATGTTAATCATATTGTCAGCACTTTGAATATACGCGGAGGTATGCACACATGAGGGTAGGTAGGCAATTACCCACTCCTCCCTAAAATTTTGAAAAATTGCACAAAAGGCTTGATATTAAAGAATATTTTCAATTTTGTATCTTATTCGCCCCCTGTCCCCTCAATTCTGTAAACTTCATTCCTTAATCACTTTGCCCCCTTTCAATTTTAAAATGTCCATTCCTTCGTCTACACTTCCTTTTTGAATTACATAGGATTGTCTTCTCCATAAAAAACCAAAAAAAAAAAAAAAAAATTTGTGATCAATAATCCAACAAAAGTATTGGATTTATTTTCTATCAAACACAGACTTCTCTTTTTGGGGAAGAAATGATTCGACCTTTTTTAATTTAGACAATGTAGTCATCAAAATAATTATTGTTTCCAATTTCTTACTGCGGTTATCTGTTTTGCAGGAAAAACCAACTTCCAGACGCCTGCCCTGGCTGGCCACAAGTCTAAATTTAGTGTTTTACTTTTCTCTGGTCCACAATCCTACTTCCACACTCTTACTACATTTCCTTATTTACCAAAGATTATGGTTGTCAAGAACCCCTTCTTCTGGTCACCTAATCCTTGAAAACTTACAAGGGACCGGACCAACTTGGTTATGCATCCCAGCTTGGCAACCAGGGATTTATTTTTTCAAAAAAAAAAAAATTAAAGAAAAAGGAAAAAGACAATAATGGGTATCATAATAGTCAAGTTCCTTTGGTGAAATTGTCAGTAAAAGAGTTAAAGGCCCCCAATGATTGATGCTAATCCCCAAAAAAGGACAAAAGACAATGAGGCCTTTTGACGTTCTGGTCATTCGGAAGGCCCAACCGCCCACTAAACCAAAACAAACCAAAACACAACTCCGCCTTTTGACCCCTCCCATCAATTCATATCCGAGCAACTTCCTTGATAGGATTGTCAGAATAGGTTGAACATTTAGGCTCAATTTTTGAAAATTAAACAGGAGGGAGAGTTAAATGCCTATAGATTGGAAGGCACTCAGATGAAATGAAATTTGACCAAGGGGACTTGACAATCAACCCCATTCGATAAGAATTACAAGTACAATTCATGAGAAATTTGGTTGCGTTTGGATTGCATTTTTCATGAATTTTTCGTTGGAAAATTACTATAGCGATTTGATGTATGTAAGATAAAAAGGTGATAGGGAAATGTGTTCACGGAAAACAAGGCCATTTTTCGATAGAAAATGGCAATCCAAACAAGCCTGAGTCTGCTTGTGCTTAGCTTTGTTGCCAATGGCTGAGTAACTGAACCATGTATCCTGAAATCTTCCTTTCACCTTAACCAATTATGCAGGTTTGTAATAAAAACTCTAGCATGCCAATTCCTCATGCAACAGATTTGTGGTTCAAACAGATGCAAGAAATGATTCCTCAATAGATCAGACTACTGATTATCATCCCACTAATAACTAATAAATCCATCTGCAAACTTTTGCAAAGCAGTGAAGTACCTTAATATCCTTCATTTGCTGCAACAAACTGCAGCAAGAAAAGAATACGAGGCACAATGGTTCCGCACGCATGTGCAGCTATCTAGACATGCCTGCATACGTGAAAACAGATTCAAATTGTTCAATGAGAGAAAACCAATCTTTTCACAATGTTTCGTGTGTAGAACTTAGTACCTGTACAATATTAGCCAAAAACATCAATGCAGCCAAAAAAATCCAGAGAGAAGATGCAAATAGAACTTCATCCATTTTCCCCAAGCCTTTATTTTGTACCATCTCATTTCATGCAAAATGTCCCAGCACAAACTATATGATTGAACAATTTGCACTGTAGGAAGACCGAGCTTCAAAATAATTTTTTTCCTATATCACAAGCAAGCATCGGTGACTGTACAGACTGTGTCACTGACATCATGAAAGGTCAAAAATTCATATATCAAAAAAGCCAAAGAACCTCAAGGTCTCTAAATCAAACAACTAAAGTGAGCCTTGCAATTAAGTTATCTGAAGTAACAAACAGGAAGAACACTTGTATGTTACCTGAAATCTCCACTGGGGCAAATCTCCCAAGTTCTTCTGCAGTTTAGTCAATCTTGAAACAGAAATATTGGCCAGAAAGAGCAAAGATCTTCTTGTACTTTACCTGATATCTCCAGGCAGGAGAATCTCTGCACTCATAGAGTCGTTTGCACCTGAACCTATGGCAATAATCTTCCTTTTTTTTTTTTTAATAGCCAACCACCTGGAATTTTTTCATACATGCTTCATTGCTGTACACAAACGTGTCGAGCAAAGCAATGAGCAGGCTTCAAGAAGATTATACAAGGGATGCTAAACCAAAAGAAGCTACTTAAACCATGCCAAAACAAATTGCCATCACAGAAGAACTTGCACCTACGTTGGATTCAGCTTGCTTCAGACTTCAAGTGCAAAAGGAAAAGATTAGACAACATATCTGACATGATGATCTGGTAATTGGTAAAACCAAAGGCTTCTTGATATCATCACAGAATATTGATTGATAATAAAATTTTCAGTTGAGACTATCAAACACAACAAAATACGAGACAAATGGCAAAATAAAATGGAAAGCCAAATTTTGTGCTCTCCAATAATGAGCACAAAATTCATCTGCACTCCACACCAACTTCAGCAGCCCGACGAGGCTTGTTCTTTCTTCTGCTGCCATTCTGTCTGAATCCAACAGACTTCACTGCTTCATTAGTGTTAGTCTTGTTTCCCACACCATTTTCCTCTTTGATAGAATCTAAGTTTTCCTTGACTTGCGAGGCCCTTTTCCTCTTCCGGCCATTCTCAACGGCGGGTTGATTCTTACTATCTTTATTTAAAACAGAGCTCTTTGCACTTTCACTGTCTTCTTCTTCTTCTTCTATCTTCTCAACATCTTCATCTTCCTCAATGTCATCCTTCAGTGGTTTCTGTGGCCTTCCCCTTCTCCTCACCGGTAATTTCTCCTCCTCACCACTTCCGGCATCTTCACGAGCAGCAATACTCAATTGTTTCTTACCCTTTCCTCTCCCTCTACCCATTTTTCAGAAAAAGCAAAAAAAAACTTCGGCAAAAATTAATTATCTCTGCAGAAGAACCTGCCCGGAAAAAGAAAATCAGATAACTTCAAACAACTCAACAAATTTCACGACTTTCTATTGAAACTATAAATACTGAGAAGGATCAATCACAATAACTCAACAAATATAACCACACACTAGAAAACGAACCAAAAATAAATCTTGGAAACGGATATCTCCTCAGATTCACCAATAAGCAAACGACTATAAGAAAACCCAAAAAGCTCTGTTTCCTGGCAAGCATACAAATCCATATTTGCTCTCATGCCCAGGAAACACATAAAGGTTGGAACTTTGACTACTTAGTGTAAAAGCATCATGTGTATTCGGATGTTATAAAATAGCGCCTAACTAATAAGCAAAGCTGTAAAACCGAAACTTCAGAGCCTAAAGAAAACAAGCCAATGGCAGTTTCAAGAAAATCACTACATAATCAATCCAATACAACAATAACATCCAAGACAAAAAGCAGATCATCCTATGATTGAAACCACATACTGAGAAAAACAAAGTCTGCATAGCAACCATACAACAAAAGAACTTAAGACTGCTTTACTTAAACATGCTTGAAAACAATCAAAATGGAATCTTTGAAGCTCAAAACAGACCACCCAAACAAACTGAAAAAGATCAAATCTTTCCAATAAATCCATTGCACAACCTTTCATACAGAATGAAACATACCAACTGAAGCAGACCTCATAAGAAACGGAAACAGCCACCATTTGCATCTTCAACCAAAACCCTCTTTTTTCAGCACATCTTTATCACAATTCCAATCAAAGAAAACCAAAATCGAGATGGGTTTTCCTATGTGCAAAAGTAAACAAAGTAAAGAAGCAACAAGAAATTGTTCAACTGATAAGAAAATGAAAAGGCTTTG